TTTGTGCTTCAGGAGATTACACTCTTTTCTCCTCTGAAAGGTGGGAAAAGCAGCTCAATACACATAAAAACATATCATTAAAACATCATACACAACAGCAGAAAAGATTGTGAGATCTAGAATTTCCTTGTAATCTTTTAGTGTCATTTCACACACAAATATGTCATTTTCAATATAGAACATCCTCCTCTCCCAATCATATCACTCAGTACTTGGTGCCTATGAGCCCAACATGTCTCCCACTTTTCTTTCTTATTCACAGAGGGTTTTTCTTCTTCCCCCTCCATTCAACTTCTAACTCTAGAGTACTGACTCTCATTTTCTTTCACCTTCTAACTTTACTGTCGTCTGACTACGTTTCCTTACTCCAAATATCACCAACAAGATGGCATCCCTGCAGTTCCAATTGTGGTGCTTTTGCTTGAGAATCTTTATGAAATCTGCATTAATTAAAGTGTCACCAGCTTTCTAAAACTATCATTTTTTTTTCTTTCTACTATAACACCTCAACCTCTCTTTATAGCCTTACCGTGTGTTCAGTTCAAACTCACCAGCAGCATCTCAGAAAGTATTCACAGGGTCTCTGAGTTGGAACCAACTCGATGGAATTTAGCATATAAATCTTAATCTCCAATTAAAGTAGAATTCTGATTTGTCCCTGTCTTCCTGTTTCTTTCTTCAAGGTATTATTCAACTAGAAATTATGATCTCTATTAACCTAGCCCATTGACTTATTGAGACCTCTTAAGCTCTCATCTTTCAAGACATAACTACCAAGAAATCTTTCAAGATTAATTTTTTCTTCTTTAAATTGTATAACTAAACTTTTTTTTTTTTTTAAATCTCCCTGACTGTATTATATTCCATACAGTATCTAGAAGGACTCCCTAGCTGGCCATTAATAGGAAAGTTGGTAGTGCAAACCCACCCAGAAGCATCTTAGGAATGCTTAGCAATCTTTTTCTACAAATCGCACCTTGAAGCCCTATGAAGTACAGTTCTACTCTACACACTTGGGGCTTCCATGAGTTGGTTGCATAGACAGAACTGTAGCTAAATAATATTGTGCCTAGAGCAATATTTTGTACCCAGAAACTACTCCACAAATATTTGAAATTTGTACTTATAAAGTACAAATATAAAAAGGCAGACTTAATCTTCACATGTACTAAAATAATGTGCTTGGAAACTCCATTTGGAATGTTATTGGTAGAGACATCATGGTAGCATGACAAGTGCCTCTAGCAAAGAAGGGCAATAAAGGATAAGTAATAGAAACTTAGTATCAAGTATGTCGAATCTTCATTTGGCCTTAATACATTTTATGATGTAAAAAAAAAAGAAAAAAGAAAAAATCCAGTCAGAAAATACTTTTAGTGTGTTAAATTAAACCAAAGGAGCTCTGGCAGCATAGTGCTTACGAATCGGGCTGCTAACCTCAAGGTCGGCAGTTTGAAACTACCAGCGGTTCCCCAGGAGAAAGATGAAGCTTTCTGCTTCTATAAAGATTTGTAGCCTCAGAAACCCTGTACAGGGTCGCTATGAGTCGGAACCGACTCCACGGCACATAACAACAAGACAAATTAAACCAGAGTCAGCAGTTCAAATCTACCAGTTGCTTTTTAAGAACTCTATACAGGGTAGCTATGAATCTATGAGTCAGAATCAATTCCACATCATTTAATAACAACAACAAACAGTAAATAATTAAGTATCCATTATGTCACTTCAACCTTAAAGCAAAGATCAAGGAATTGACTGTGAATGTAGTTTCTTGTGGAAAGTTTGAAAAACTGAAAAAGGCACTGGCATAGAACTCTGATTATTGTGCAATTGGTTCCAACTCATAGCGACCCTGTATAGGGTTTCCAATTAGGTGCCAGTGATTTTGAAATATTGACCTTGTGGTTCAAACTGACCTTGTGGTCCAGGGTTTATTCTACAGAACCACACCAGAACTTCAATGTATGTATTAATTTATTATATGTTTATTAAAATATTGAGTATTCATTTCTATTTTAATCAACAAAATCCCTTTCTAGCATTTATCATTCATAATCCAAGTATAAGATTATTTAGTCATAACATATTAATTTGGAATACAAGTTCACATTTTACTCTATGGGTCCTTGATGTGACATGGGTCATGATTTTTTTTATGATGAATCATTGCCAAGAATACAACCATCAATTTTAGCCGTCTTCTTAAGAAAAAATATTATTTGTCAATATTTAGTGTGAAAACACTCTAATAGGAGATATAAATCTGGTAACAGTATGCACATTTATACACATCTACTACGGTTAAAATGAATCACTTAAAATTTTCTTTATATTATCTACCTTTTTGAATTTAAAATGAGTTCAGTGAGTTGTCCTATTTACATTGAAATTGTATACTTAGATTTACTGGGAAAGTTTACTTTTTTCTACTGAATAACATAAGGCTTTGGCTTTTATTTTCTTTCCTTTCAGAGATTACTTGGCAGTACAGAAATTCATTTCAAGGGATGTTAGTTTTCTTAAGCAATCCAAGATAAATAAAATATTGCCATGCCATTGTAGACCCAAGACTCTACAACCATGTCAACCACATTCATCTTCACAGGTACACATTATGTTCACCTGTTTAGAGGATGGGTCTTTATGAATCAATATTGTTACAAATTGCCTTAAATACTCTATCCTTCTTCTTTGTATCTACTTTTTTATCCTACGTTAACATTCCAAGATTTAAAGCAGATGAAAAACACCATTCACAGCCATTACAATAAATTAAGACATGTCTCAATGGTGCAAAAAGAGTAATTATATATTTTTTAATCTTCCTTCAAGATAGTAAAACTACACTTGAAAGAAGAGAGGAACAGGAATAAGGGTGGCTCCACTTTGAAGATAATCTATTTAAAGAGTCTAAATGTATATGTTATTATCTGTTCATTTCTATTCTTAGAAATAGTATGATTTGTACATGTCTCTTTCTTATCTGCATGCTTAAGCAAAACTGCTCACAATTCCACTAAATTTAAAATAATGGTTCTTGTTTGAATGTTATATACAAGGAATGCACATAGAAAAGTGCATTTATATTCTTATCAATTTAAATCTACTTGTAAATATTATCAATATTTATAATCAAGTTAATGAAACACTTATGAGAAAATCAAAGCAACTTATAATAAGCATTTTATGTACTTTTTAAAAAGTGATGCTTAAATACACTTAAAAGAGTTCCAAAAATAAAAATTTCTCCCATTATAGTTAAAACAATTAGCTTAACTCACAAAAATAGACATTATACATTTTAGTGGTGTTTTTTTCCTTCACAGGAACATCATTTTTTCTTTATCCCTATATGGACAATCATTTGAAGAATACTGATCAATTATCTGTGTTTTAGATATGAATTTATGAATAATATTATAAATGAATATATACATGGCCAAAGGTTTATTAGGCTTTCCATTCAAAACAAGAAGTGTTGGTGGATATTTGGGCATTGTAGTTTAATTTTGTCTTTTTCTTTCAGAGGTTTATAAACATAGTGAAAAATGTGGATTTAGCTGAGGAGACAGAAGAAAATGTTTTCAGATTAAAAAAATAATAACTATTTATTTTGAAAACCTAAGTATAACCATAGGAGCTCTGGTAGCGTAGTGGTTATGAATCGTGCTGCTAACCTCAGGGTCAGCAGTTCCAAACTACCAGCTGTTCCGCGGGAGAAAGACGAGGTTTTCGGCTCCCGTAAATATTTACAGCCTCGGTAACCCTGTACAAGGTCTCTGAGTAGGAACCGACTCCACAGCACTTAACAACAACAACAAGTATAACCATGTCAGAACTGCACTTACTAACTTTACTTAAAATCCTGGATACTTTCTCATGCATTTGATAAACTTTAAAGAGATTATCATATTAAAAACTAAAGTATCATTTGCACAGCTGAAGATACCTTCCTCATACTTTAACACTGGGCTTGATCATAAGAATGTTTAATCTGATAATTGCTGTTGAAGATAAAATTTTTTAAAATTGTCTTTAAACTGATCCTGGCTATTCTCTAATAAATTAGATGATGGTGCAAGGGTATGAAAATTTTATATACAATTAATATCCCAAACAATTTTCAGAAATATAATGATTGAATCCTAAATTTTTACTTCATTTCACAAAAGTAAATATTAATTTAAATAGTTTACCTTCATCAGACTTTCTCTGCTCCTTTTAATAGTACATATTTAAAAAACATCCTTAGCATAAATTACAAATAATGTTGCCAGATATTAATTATTTAATCAAAATGAATAAATATAGGTAAAAGCATTATTTCTTAATTTGTTTGTTAATTTATGGAATGCAATACCCTTATAATGAGTAAAGATTTCTCTTTGCATTTGATTTCATTAGTAGTTGATTTAAATATGTCAGTATTGACCTTATCATACTTCCATAAGAACTATTTAGTAAAGAAGGGGGGAAAAAAAGCCAAATATAACATTCTTCCCAATTTTTTTTTTCACTTTGAACTTAGAAAAAGTTACTCTGGTGATTTCCATTCAAGCTTATAAACCCTCCAAATAAATATAACTGAAGGTAAAGATTGGCCTGCATAATTTTTCTTTAGTTGTAAAGAATTAAAATATAAATAATTTCTTCTTACCAGTAAAATACCTTAGAAAGAAATCACAAATTTAAATGGTTAGTTATTTGTACTCCAAACCAGGCATTTAAAAAAAGTAGCCAAAAAAAATTGAAATTAACAAAATAAGCAAAAAAAAAAAAAAAAAACTGCATAAACATTAGGTATTAGGCTATTTTCCTTTTACTAAAACTGCAAGTTTTTATTTAAATAAAAGTTGTTTTTTTCTCTTTAAAACTAGAATGACAGAATTTATAAATGCACAATCCTGATAAAATATAATTAAAACTGAAAATCAAGTAAAAACATAAAATAATACTTCAATATACCATATTTCATAACTAATCTGGTTTATATACACTTAAGTAAATCAATATAAAACTGCCAATTTATTTATCTTGGGAGCCTTTAAATAATTACAATATAATTCACTTTATAACCATTGGTTTCTGTACTTTAAAATCAAACTTCTTATTACTGAAGTACAATACATATAATGGATATACTTAGACATCTTGTCATCTTGATCTAGTTAGAAGAATTTATAAATAAAGATAGCCAACCCAATATACCAGATTAAACAGGGCAAAAGCTGTTGGGAAAAATATTCTAGAATATGAGTCTATTTTGGCAATGCGAATGTGTAGTCTTCCTTCCCTCCATGATCCTGTTTTGCAGTCTTCAAAGCAACAGAAGAAGCTGGCACAATCTTTGCCCTCTAGACACTGATACCCATAATCATCTTCTCCTTGTGGCAGAGAAATGTTATTCATTGGTATTAGAGTGGATCCAGGATGAAGACCAGAAGTGATCTAAGTAAAATGAAAAATGATTTTTTGAGGAAAAATATACCATAAAGACAAATCAATTTATCTCCATAAGGCAAACTCTAGGA